ACTTCCCTATCCACACACACTTCCTCCAGCTCGTCCGGGGGGACCCCAAGGCGTTCCCAGGCCAGCTGAGAGACATAGTCCCTCCAGCGTGTCCTGGGTCTTCCGCGGGGCCTCCTCCCGGTGGGACGTGCCCGGAACACCTCCCCAGGGAGGCGTCCAGGAGGCATCCGGAACAGATGCCCGAGCCACCTCAACTGGTTCCTCTCGACGTGGAGAAGCAGCGGTTCTACTCCGAGCTCCTCCCGTGTGACTGAGCTCCTCACCCTATCTCTAAGGGAGCGCCCAGCCACTCTGCGGAGGAAGCTCATTTCGACCGCTTGTATCCGCGATCTCGTTCTTTCGGTCATTACCCAAAGCTCATGACCATAGGTGAGGGAGGGAACGAAGATTGACCGGTAAATCGAGAGCTTTGCCTTTCGGCTCAGCTCCCTCTTTACCACAACGGTCCGATACAGCGACCGCATCACTGCGCACGCTGCACCGATCCGCCTGTCAATCTCACGCTCCATTCTTCCCTCACTCGTGAACAAGACCCCGAGATACTTGAACTCCTCCACTTGAGGAAGGACCTCTCCACCCACCTGCAGAGGGCAAGGCACCTTTTTCCGGTCGAGCACCATGGCCTCGGATTTGGAGGTGCTGATTCTCATCCCAGCCGCTTCACACTCGGCTGCAAACCGTCCCAGTGCATGCTGCAGGTCCTGGTTCATTGGAGCCAACAGGACAACATCGTCCGCAAACAGCAGAGATGAAATCCTGTGGTCTCCGAACCGGACCCCCTCCGACCCCTGGCTGCGCCTAGATATTCTGTCCATAAATACAGTGAACAGAACCGGTGACAAAGGGCAGCCCTGTCGGAGGCCAACATTCACCGGGAACAGGTCTGACTTACTGCCGGCAATGCGAACACAGCTCTGGCTCTGGTCATACAGGGATCGGATGGCCCTCAGCAGAGGACCTCCGACCCCGTACTCCCGGAGAACCCCCCAAAGGACAGCCCGGGGAACACAGTCGAACGCCTTCTCCAAATCCACAAAGCACATGTGGACAGGTTGGGCGAACTCCCATGAACCCTCGAGTATCCGATGGAGAGTATAGAGCTGGTCCAGTGTTCCGCGACCGGGACGAAAACCACACTGCTCCTCCTGGATCCGAGATTCGACCATCGGCCGTAACCTCCTCTCCAGTACCTTGGAGTAGACCTTACCGGGGAGGCTGAGGAGTGTGATCCCACGATAATTGGAACACACCCTCCGGTCCCCCTTCTTGTAGAGAGGGACCACCACCCCGGTCTGCCACTCCATTGGCACTGCCTCCGATCGCCACGCGATGTTGCAGAGACGTGTCAGCCAAGACAGTCCTACAACATCCAGAGACTTTAGATAATCAGGGCGGATCTCATCCACACCCGGAGCCTTGCCACCATGGAGGCTACCAACCACCTTGGTGACCTCAGCCAGGGAGATGGATGTACCCGCCCCAACATCCTCAGCCTCTGCCTCTGTAACAGAGGACGTGACGGGGGGATTGAGGAGAACCTCAAAGTATTCCTTCCACCGCCCGACAATATCCCCAGTCGAGGTCAGCAGCTCTCCACCCGCACCGTACATGGTGTTGGCAAAGAACTGCTTCCCCCTCCTGAGGCGCCGGATGGTTTGCCAGAATCTCTTCGAGGCCGAGCGATAGTCATGCTCCATGGACTCTCCGAACTCCTCCCAGTCCCGGGTTTTTGCCTCTGCAACAGCCCGGGCCGCGGCACGCTTGGCCTGCCGGTACTGGACAGCTGCCTCAGGAGTCCCCCGAACCATCATGGCTCGATAGGACTCCTTCTTCAGTCTGACAGCATCCCTTACTGCCGGTGTCCACCACCGGGTTCGGGGGTTGCCGCCGGGACCAGCACCAGAGACCTTGCGACCACAGCTACGAGCCGCCGCATCGGCGATTGAGGCAGAGAACATGGTCCACTCGGACTCCATGTCCCCCTCCTCCGCCGGGACCTGGGAGAAACTCTCCCGGAGGTGTGAGTTGAAAGTCCGTCTGACAGGGGGCTCAGCGAGACGTTCCCAGCAGACCCTCACTATACGCTTGGGTCTGCCAGGTCTGACCAGCTTCTTCCCCTGCCAGCGAATCCAACTCACGACCAGGTGATGATCGGTTGACAGCTCCGCCCCTCTCTTTACCCGAGTGTCCGAGACACGCGGTCGAAGGTCAGATGATACGACAACAAAGTCGATCATCGACCTCCGGCCTAGGGTGTCCTGGTGCCACGTGCACTGGTGGACACCCTTGTGCTCGAACATGGTGGTCGTGATGGACAAACTGTGACTGGCACAGAAGTCCAACAACTGAACACCGCTCGGGTTCAGATCAGGGGGGCCGTTCTTCCCGATCACCCCTCTCCAAGTGTCACTGGCGTTTCCCACATGGGCGTTGAAGTCCCCCAGGAGAATAACGGAGTCCCCGGGCGGTGCACCGTCCAGTACCCCTCCCAAGGACTCCA